CAGCATCATCTCTAGAGATGGCTTCACCGAAGGCAGCTCTAAAAGCATCCACAAAGGAATCCCAGCGCTTCCATCTCTGATCCAACTGCACCGGTATTCCAGCAAGGCGGTTGGCGGAGGCTTGATCAATTGAATTGTGGTATGCCTCATACCATCGGATCGCTGCCTCCCCTTCCATCAAGTTGCCTGCATATCGGATCTTAACCTCCTCAGAGGTAAATGACAGGCTCTCAATGGAGAACACATTCTCACATTGCCGGATGAAGGTTTCCACTTGCTCCGCCTTGCCTTGGAACTTTGATGGTGGTGGTGCCTTTGGTTCCCGGGCTCTGGTGGAAGTAGAAGGGTGGGAGGTAGCCGGAGGTTGATACTGCTGGGACATCATTGCCAACAGATCCTTCTGTTGCTTCTCCAACTTCTTCTTAAGATATCTCCGCCATCTTCTCCTGTTACCACCTTCTGGTTCCGAGTCTGAGCTGTCAGAACTGTCTGAATCCCCAGGAGCGGGGGCACGGGCCACGGGAGGTGGAGGGTTCTGATTTCCACCACTTCCACCCTGTGCATTGGCTGGAGGGGGAGCGGTGGCCGCAGCAGAAGAGGCCACAGGTGCTACTGGTGCCGGATTGCTGGCCAGTGGTGAGGTTGCTGCTGGTTGAGCGGCCCCAGACATGGTGAACCTTCCCGGGTTCCTGGCTAGCGGACTGGGAGGTCCTCGGCCTGCACCTGAGAAGAACTCTCCTTCATAGTCAAAGGATCGGTCGGCTCCTCCAAGGAGTGGATGTGTTCCACCGAAGCGGCTAGGTGGTAAGGGTGAAGCCCCCACCGCTGGCTGCACAATAGGGATAACTCTCCTAGTGGATCGGACCGGAAATGCTGCGAAGGGACTGGTCTTCCGCTGCATTGTTCTGGTGGCTGCCCTGGACGAGGACCTAGAGCCTGGATTCGGTGCCGGAGTTGCTGGTCTACCCACCACCAGTCTTCCTTCATCAAGGGCTCTCTGTATCTCGGCAACAAAGTCTGGTGGAGTAGCCGGGTTTGTCCACTCAATTTCCATGGCATCGGCATTCAGCTCATCCCTCTCCACATACTTCCGAAGTTCTTCCTGAACAGAGTTGACCTCCCTCCTCATGTACTCAAGAGCCTCTGCCATCAGAGCATTCTGTGCTGCCTGGCGCTCTTGTACAATGAGTAGGGCCTGACTGCCCCGGGTCAACTGATTCTGCAGGCTGTGTTGGAGGTAGGTCTGGAGCTCTGTGAAGAACTGTTGGACGGAGATCTCATCGGTATCCTGCCAGGCAGGTTCACAGCCAGGAATGTAGGTCTGTAGAGCGGTCCTGGGTTTTTTGACAAGCTGTGTCTGCCCGGTGGCATCCAGTTGGAGGGGCACCGGCTGCCATTCAATCTGAAGGAGTGCATCTGGAGCCGAGAGGGCGGACATTTTGTATAGAGGAAGAATAATCTGAAGGTGATTTGAGCCTTAAAGATTATCTGTAACGGGGGTCCTTTCTAAGAGAAATAGATTTGTATAGAATAGAGACGGCCGTGCAAGATAGACAATCAGGTTGCAGATTATTCAAAGATACTATCGCTAGAACTCAATAATCTTTAAGGGCTCTGCTACCGATAAGAACTTGGTTTTTCTTTCTGATGAAGACTGGAGAGAATAGGACTGAAGGGCGGGAATGAACCTGAGTACTTATACTCCGAAGGCCTCTGTTCTCTGCTCCTAACTCCTTTACTAAGTTCCGGTGGGCCTTCCCTCAGTACCGGAAACAATACCACCGCTACCCCGCTTTTCTCTAAGCGTCAGCAGGTGTTTCCGATACCCAAGGCAACCACCCTTAGTCAAAGCCTTTGTAACACCTGCAGCCTTGGTTGCCACACAACTGAGGACCTGCATGAATGAGCTGCCGCTCAGGTGTAAGCTTAATCATTGCTGTAGAGCTTTCGCTTATTGTAGACTTCCCTAGCATAGTCCCTGCCCTTCGGCGGACTTACAATGCACCGAGGATACAGAGGATCACCGGTCAATCAGAGCTTCACTCTGGCCGGTCTTCTAGTCACTGGCGAGGCATAGACTCGTCAGTCATTGCTCCCATGAATAGATCCTCTTCCTAGCGCCCGGAATGTAGTTACTCTAACAGCTGGTAGCTAACCACACTGCCGGTACTTGCATATCACCGTGCAACTGGCTTCTAACAATAACTCTCAGCATGTAACCGGGCCCTGTGTGTACTCATACACCAGACAGTTGAAATGGCTCCGTTACACTGCCCGAACATCCCCGAATGTGCCTAGAGTATTTAAATTATCAACGTCATATATTGAAGCAAACATTGAGTACAAGCATTCTCGAGTGCTTCTAGAGCCTTCATAGGTGCTTTCGGAATCATGACGAGCTCAAGAAAAAAGCTGATCGCACTCAGTGTAAGAACACTCCGCCCTTCCTTCAAGTTCTTGAGAAGTTCTTAATCAGTTTCAAGTTCTCTTCCACCTATCACTTCAAGTTCTCAATTGCTTTCAACATTAGCTGTTGCAATCTTATCCTTCAAGTTCCTCCATTTTCAAGCGATTCAACCTTTGCAATCTTTATAAATAAGATGGTACTTCTCCCTCCTAATCCAATTAATATCAGAATCATACTCACCACAGTGATACATTAAGATTATCAAACTCCAAACACCACTCAGAGCACTTCTGGTAGCTCCAATAACACAAATAAACTTTCCAATAAGAAGTACTTGCGTGACATAGGCGAGGACAATAAGAAAAGACCCACCGAGAAACCAAGAAATACAAATCATCCTGAAAACATAAAAAACACCTAAGTTCATCTGGTCGCAAATCGTCTGGCAAAACTGTCAAGCCTATTCTAGAGAAAATACTAGAAACACTCCCGAGGCAGTCGTCAGTGCTTTCCGGGTTCACCCCGATCAAAAAGAGCTGAAAGCAAAACCCCCTACCTTCACCAATCCGGACTGAACTCCGGACTCCACCAAATACTAACCTAGCTCCATTGGACACTGAAAGGATTTTCCCGAGTAACTAGGGAACAACCCTAACTGATTCTGAATCATTTCCCCACTTTGGTTCCGAACTCTCTGAACCATACATAAGTGACGATCAAGACCCAGCAAGAAGTCCAGCAAGAGGCCCACTAGCAGCAGTGTCCACTACTTCCTGAGACACACCAGTGCTTCACCAGAACTTCTTGTACGGATGACCATACTTAGGCTTAGTGCTACCCCTCCACTACCCACTTGTAACGGCAGCTATGTATTTCGGCTAGGTGATAAACTGGAACGAGGAAAGGAGGTATTGTGCAGTGAATTAGGATTTGTAATGGGGATTTCTGTTATGTTCTTTCAGTTTCTATTACATGGAGGTATTAGTCATTATTGGATTATGGTTGGATATATAAGGGGGTGTTGTCTTGTGCTTTTACCTGTTTTCTCTTTTTCCTTCTTTCTTTACGCAACGTCTGTATTCTACTCTACGAATATTATTCTTGTTCCACGCTACGTCAGAGGGTTCAGTTGGGTTGTTAGACCAAACAGAGCTGCCCCATAGTCCATAGTCTTGAATACCCTCTACTACGTCTTCGTCTTGGTTGTATTCCTTGGCACTATAGTCCATCGTCCATAGACCCACGTTATACGTAGGTTACATCCTCTATCGCCAACCAATACAACACCATAGTCTACAATGTCGGAACATGTTCATGTCGATTATCAACAACTCAACCATAATCTCCAAAAGTTTTTTCAAGCGCATCTACAGGTCGATAACATTATCGGAACTGAAGCCTATGCGCTTCTTCAACAGCTTCAACATGGTCTTACTCAATATGCAACGGATTTACAGGAGGTAGAAGCGGAGGCTGCGAGGGCAAGAAGGATGTTTGAACGAGATCTTGCTGCTGCCCGAGCTCAACGAACTGCTGTTGAGGTTGTGGCCCTTGACGAAGAATCCATTGGAAACAATGCTCCACCTATACCACCAGCTACAGGCACCATCTATCGATCGGAGATACTCCCAGATCCTGGGGTGTTCAGGGGGGATCGTGATCGAGACAGGCTACACTTGTTCAAGCAACAAATGAAAATCAAGCTAATGGGAAATACCGATCGCTATCCTACACTACAGCCTAAATTATCCTATGCGTTCAGCAGATTGGAAGGAGCTGCTGCCAATCAGTTCTTACAGTATGTCGGAGAAGAAGGTATTGCCTTACCTTCTATGCTATGGTTTTATGAAATTTTGGACACAGCTTTTGGGGACCCCGATCGAATGCATACAGCTAGAAGGAACCTACGGAATATCCATCAATGAACTCGAACCTTCGCTGACTATTTCGCTGAATTTCAACGGTATGCTGCTGAGTCGGGTATGGATGAAGCCTCTCGGATTGAGGCTTTGATGGAAGGTATTAACACGGAACTCGATGAATCAATGATACACCATGAAACTCTTGCGACGGTAGATGCCTGTGTGACACTTTTGCAACGGTTGGATAATCGTGGTCGAGCGCCAGAAGCTAAACGAGGAAATAAAAAACATTGGAATGCTACTACTACTCCGGCCCCTCGTCCCCCACCAGCGAATCCTGTTCCTGCTCCTCGTATTGCTGCCCCAGTCGCCAATGCACCTGCTACTCAAAATCATCCCTCGTTCCGTCCAAGAGGTGATGTACCAATGGATCTATCTCGAGGACGTCGTCGCTCCACCCCTGCCGAAAGAAATGCCCGCTTAGTTGAGGGTCGATGTTTCTATTGCGGAGGTGTTGGACACATGGTTAGGGATTGCCCCCAAGCGAGGGCAACTGAAAATCAATTAAGTAGGCCTGTGATGAGAGGAGCAGCATTGATGGTGGAGGAAAAAGATGGAAGTGACAACGAGTCGGCAAAAGATTTGTCCCTGCACTAAGTGGCTTAGCCCAGTGACCATTTAAGGATTTTTCTAGGATGTGTATTTTTGGTTTTTCGGTATCAGAGGAGGAAATGGATGGAAACCAACTTGTAGTAACTTGTTCGATTTCGCAGAATAAAAATTCTTTCATCCCCACCTACGCTCTTATTGATACTGGAGCATCAGGATACGCTTTCATTGACGAATCTTTTATACGCCACAACAATCTTACAATGACCCCCCTTAAAATACCTCGCCATGTAGATGTTATAGATGGAAGGCCTATCAAATCAGGAAAAATTACCCATATTGTCGATGTCTCGCTAGACATTCATGGTCATCGAGAGACTGCGCCATGTTTTGTGACGAAGTTAGAACACTACCCGATTGTGATGGGGATACCTTGGATGCGACGTCATGATGTTACGATTCGACCAAAGAAAAATCTACTTGTTTTTGATTCTCGGAGCTGTTGTCAATACTGTTCACTCAGTGGAACTGCAGTTATTGTTCATGGTATCTCGATTGCCCTACCGGAACACCATACAATCATTTTTTCAGCAACTGAAAAATCTACTGTCGACATTAAACAACTAGTACCGAAGGAATTTCACCATCGTCTCCATATGTTCAAAGAATACGATGCTTCAATTCTCCCACCACATCAACTGTCCCATGACATTGAAATAGTATTGGAAGAAGGCAAACGACCACCATATAGACTTATATATGGATTATCTCAAATTGAGTTGAAGGCACTACGAGAATATCTCGATGAAAATTTACTCAAAGGATTTATTCGAGCCAGTGAATCGCCAGCGGGAGCACCCATACTGTTCGTGAAGAAAAGCGATGGAACCCTTCCACTCTGTGTTGATTATCGAGGTCTAAATGCAATTACAATCAAAAATCGATATCCATTACCATTGTTAAAGGAAACCCTAGCTAAGTTGTCAAGAGCAAAATACTATACGAAATTGGATTTACGTTGGGGATATAATCAAATCAGGATAGCGGAGGGAGATGAATGGAAAACGGCATTTCGAACTCGATATGGACATTTCGAATATACAGTAATGCCATTTGGATTAGCTAATGCCCCTGCTACATTTCAACATTAGATCAATGATATTTTACGTCCCTATCTCGACCAATTCGTAACGGCATACTTGGATGATATCCTTATCTATTCCGAAACTCTATCGGAACATAAAGAACACATTCAAAAGGTTCTAAAGGTACTTGATGGGAATCATGTTCACCTTAAACCTGAAAAATGTGAATTTATGGTTCAGGAAACGAAATATCTTGGTTTGATCCACACTCCGAATGGAAACAGAATGGACCAAAAGAAAGTTGTCGATGTTTTGAAATGGTCCACACTGACAAACCTTCATGATGTTCAAGTATTTCTAGGATTTGCAAATTTCTATTGACGGTTCATTCTAGGATATTCGAAAATTGTTGCTCCAATTACAGCCTTGACAAAGAAAAATATTAAATTCGAATAGACAGATGAAAGGGAGGAAGCATTTCAAACTTTGAAAAAGATGTTTACAACGGCACCGATACTACCCCATTTTAATCCAGAGCCGAGGATTGTGATAGAAACCGATGCATCTGACTATATTTCAGGAGGAATCCTATCTCATCATGATAACGAAGGAATCCTACATCCAGTCGCTTTCTTCTCCAAGAAACATTCTCCTGCAGAGTGCAACTATGAAATCTATGACAAAGAACGTTTAGCAATTATACGATGCTTCAAAGAATGGCGACATCATCTGGAGGGAGCTCAATTCTCAATTGAAGTTTTTAGCGACCATGGGAATCTTGAATATTTTATGACAACGAAATTGTTAAATCGTCCACAAGCCCGCTGGTCCGAATTTCTTTCACGCTTCGATTTCATTATACAATTTCGGCCAGGAAAGCAAGGAACGAAACCAGATACATTGACTAGGAGGTCAGGTGACCTACCTAAAGAGGGGGATGAACGGTTGACGCATCAGAGTCAAGTGATTTTGAAGCGAAAAAATTTGGATGCAAGGCGAAGTTTGTTCGCGGGTTCTTTGTCAAATGAATCCGCTGAAGTAGCATCTACTGTAGAGAAGTTATTTTCAAAAGCTTACCAAGTTGATAGTTTTCCAAACAAGATCCTCACTATGCTTCGGAATGGCGTTCGCCACTCGAATGAAATTTCGCTTGCCGAATGTACGGAAGATAACAACGGTCGGCTACTTTATCGAGGTGCACTATATGTACCAGAGGACAATGATCTTCGGCTAAGGCTCCTGAAAGAACACCATGACAAACTATCAGCAGGTCATCCAGGCAGAGCAAAGACCTTAGAACTCCTAAATCGAGAATATTATTGGCCACAGATGCGAAGATTCGTCGATCAATATGTTAGGAATTGCAATATGTGCCCCCGTAGCAAGGCGCTTCGAAATGCACCTTATGGAGTACTTCGCCCGATGCCAATACCTGATGGATCGTGGACGGATGTGTCAATGGATTTTGTTACCGATCTTCCTGAGAGTGAGGAATATAATGCAATCTTGGTCGTGGTTGATAGGTTAACCAAAATGCAACATTTGATACAAACAACCAAAAAAGTGGATTCAAAGGAAGTAGCGAGGCTTTATATCGATAATGTTTGGAAACTACATGAATTACCAGATACCATTGTATCCGATCGAGGAACACAGTTCGTTGCGGAGTTTTGGAATTCGCTTTGTTATCGGTTGGAAATATCACCGAAATTCTCCACCGCCTTTCATCCTCAGACAAATGGGCAGACGGAAAGAATCAATGCTGTAATGGAACAATACCTTCGAAGCTATGTATTTTATTAGCAGTACGATTGGGTTCGATTATTATCAATGGCCGAGTTTGCGACAAACAACCATGCTTCGGAAACAACAAAAGTTTCTCCTTTTTATGCCAATTCGGGAAGAAATCCAAGGATGACTTTTAGTCCTTTGGAACATGGTCGAACGACGGCGGAGGATCAAGCTAATCTTATTGCAAGAGAAATGAACGATGTAATGGATTTTGTAAGAGAAGAGATGTTTCGGGCACAAAAGATACAAGAAGAGTCAGCCAATAGGAATCGGACTCCAGCTCCTCGTTACCATTTAGGAGATAAGGTTTTCCTATCGACCCGTCATATTCTAACAAAGTTACCTTCTAAGAAATTCGACTGGAAACGTAATGGACCTTATAGCGTTAAGCGGATTATCAATCCCTATGCTTACGAGTTGGAACTTCCCCGGTCCATGAAAATTCACCCAGTATTTCATGGTTCATTATTGTCACCCGAAGCAAATGATCCTTTACCAGGACAGCAACAGTTACCACCACCTCCGGTCGAAATCGAAGGGGGTCAAGAATAGGAAGTCGAAGATGTTTTGGATTCGAGGAAACGAAGAGGAAGGTTCGAGTATCTGATATGATACGTAGGGTATGATGAAGCCTCCTGGCAATCACTATCTGACCTTGAGCATTCACCTGATATCGTCAAATGATTCCATGAGCGTTGTCCTGGGAAACCTAAGCCTACCAGGAGGTATGCCTTAACGGGGGGCGTGGTCTGTAACGGCAGCTATGTATTTCGGTTAGGTGATAAACTGGAATGAGGAAGAGGAGGTATTGCGTAGTGGGATTAGGATTTGTAATTGGGATTTCTGTTATGTTCTTTTAGTTTCTGTTACGTGGAGGTATTAGTCATTATTCGATTATGGTTGGATATATAAGGGGGCGTTGTCTCGTACTTTTCCCTGTTTTCTCTTTCTCTTCTTTCTTTATGCAATCTCTGTATTCTACTCCACGAATATTATTCTTGTTCTACGCTACGTCATAGGGTTCAGTTTGGTTGTCAGATCAAACAGAGCCACCCATAGTCCATAGTCACGAACATCCTCTATATAACGGAGCCATTTCAACTGTCTGGTGTATGAGTACACACAGGGCCCGATTACATGCTGAGAGTTATTGTTAGAAGCCAGTTGCACGGTGATATGCAAGTACCGGCAGTGTGGTTAGCTACCAGCTGTTAGAGTAACTACATTCCGGGCGCTAGGAAGAGGATCTATTCATGGGAGCAATGACTGACGAGTGTATGCCTCGCTAGTGACTAGAAGACCGGCCAGAGTAAAGCTCTGATCGACCAGTGATCCTCTGTATCCTCTAAGCATTGTGAGTCCGCCGAAGGGCAGGGACTATGCTAGGAAAGTCTACAATAAGTGAAAGCTCTACAGCAATGATTAAGCTTACACCTGAGCGGTAGCTCATTCATGCAGGTCCTCGGTTGTGTGGCAACCAAGGCTGCAGGTGTTATAAAGGCTTTGACTAAGGGTGGTTGCCTTGGGTATCGGAAACACCTGCTGACGCTTAGAGAAAAGCGGGGTAGCGGTGGTATTATTTCCGGCACTGAGAAAAGGGCCCACCGGAACTTAATAAGGAGTTAGGAGCAGAGAATAGAGGCCTTCGGAGTATAAGTACTCAGGTTCATTCCCGCCCTTCAGTCCTATTCTCTCGAGTCTGTAGGAGAAGAAAGAAAAGAAAAAAACCAAGTTCTTATCGGTAGCAGAGCCTTTAAAGATTATTGAGTTCTAGCGATAGTATCTTTGAATAATCTGCAACCTGATTGTCTATCTTGTACGGCCGTCTCTATTCTATCTTATTCTATTTCTCTTAGAAGAGACCTCCGTTACACTCTACTACGCTCTTGCCTCGGTTGTATTCCTTGTCATCATAGTTCCTTGCCCATAGTCACACGTTACAGCTGCTAGTGGGCCTTTTGTTGGGCTTCTTGCTGGGTCTTGATTGTCACTTATGTATGGTTCAGAGAGTTCGGAACCAAAGTGGGGAAATGATTCAGAATCAGTTAGGGTTGTTCCCTAGTTACTCGGGAAAATCCTTTCAGTGTCCAATGGAGCTAGGTTAGTATTTGGTGGAGTCCGGAGTTCAGTCCGGATTGGTGAAGGTAGGGGGTTTTGCTTTCAGCTCTTTTTGATCGGGGTGAACCCGGAAAGCACTGACGACTGCCTCGGGAGTGTTTCTAGTATTTTCTCTAGAATAGGCTTGACAGTTTTGCCAGACGATTTGCGACCAGATGAACTTAGGTGTTTTTTATGTTTTCAGGATGATTTGTATTTCTTGGTTTCTCGGTGGGTCTTTTCTTATTGTCCTCGCCTATGTCACGCAAGTACTTCTTATTGGAAAGTTTATTTGTGTTATTGGAGCTACCAGAAGTGCTCTGAGTGGTGTTTGGAGTTTGATAATCTTAAAGTATCACTGTGGTGAGTATGATTCTGATATTAATTGGATTAGGAGGGAGAAGTACCATCTTATTTATAAAGATTGCAAAGGTTGAATCGCTTGAAAATGGAGGAACTTGAAGGATAAGATTGCAACAGCTAATGTTGAAAGCAATTGAGAACTTGAAGTGATAGGTGGAAGAGAACTTGAAACTGATTAAGAACTTCTCAAGAACTTGAAGGAAGGGCGGAGTGTTCTTACACTGAGTGCGATCAGCTTTTTTCTTGAGCTCGTCATGATTCCGAAAGCACCTATGAAGGCTCTAGAAGCACTCGAGAATGCTTGTACTCAATGTTTGCTTCAATATATGACGTTGATAATTTAAATACTCTAGGCACATTCGGGGATGTTCGGGCAGTACCAATGGTGACATCAATAATATTCTGATGTTGGGGTTCGTATTTGTATTCTTCTTGGTATTGTTGCTCTGTCCTCTAGGAAGCTGATTCAGAGAGAATGTATTCTTTGATCTCATAGTCGATATTAGTGTTGAATTTGGCGCTGAGAACACTGTCTCGATCTCAAGAGACTCCGCGAGTGCTCAGGGAGAGAGTGCAGATACTCAAGGCGATAGAATCTAGCATAACTGGCCACCTGATTGGGGTGGTGGGTGTTTCTTCATGTTGGTGTTTGTGTTTGTATTGGGTTGATGTATGACATCAGACTCGTATTGAAAGTCAGCTTTGCCGACGAGGTACAGGTGAGAGCCTCGCTGGCTGCCAAATCAAATCATTCGAGCACTGTGCAGCAGCACCTACAGGAAAGAGCCTCCTCGGCCTTGCCAGAAAACAAATGTTCAGAGCACTCGAGAGTACTTTGGTAGCATCGTGAAACTTCAATGAAATTGTTTTGCCCTTTTTGCAGCAAGTGGTACAGCTCTTCCGCGAACTTTGATAAACATCTTCGAACTACACATCCATTTGAAGCAGATGAATGGCTGGAAAACCAGTTTTTACTCCTAGAACGCGATCAAGAGATACCCGATGACACTCACGACAGCTTGGAAGGCATTCACGATTCCTATTCAAATGCCTATGACGACTCGAATAGTTCGGAGGGCAACAGTATCAATTATCATAACCAACATGCCAATAATAATTCAGATCTGGAATCCGAATCATATTTTATGATGGAAGAGGCAGATGGAGATGCAAATAGGCATGAGGCAGCGACAACAATTTACAAGAGTAGTGGGCAGCGTCTCTACCACTCGGAGGACTACGACGAATGCTCATAAAACCTTCTCCGATACCCATAGTACCCATTCAACTAAGCATACGAGTTTAGAATGGCACGTTATTTCATACTGTCGAAGGCCTAACAAGGAAATATCGACAGTTTCTTTCTACATGCTCCGTCAAACAGTGGCGAAAGCTACTACAATACTGGGCGAGGTTTAATAAAGAGATTGGAGGAAATGAATTCCATATTGGGAAAGGCAAGCTGTCATCATTCGTAGTTGGATATTTGGAGAGCGAATATCCCTTACTATTAATGAAATCCAATGATAATTGTGCGATATCTTTTAGGCCAACGGGCCTTTTGGGAGTCATTGGTGTACGCGTCAGTGGTAAACCATAATGAATCTGGCGACAGATCGTACCGGAAAATACATACGGGAGATTGGTGGTGGGAGACGCAGGACCGGTAAGCCTCACAAGTGCTCTATGAGCAGTCGCTAATGCTTTCTGGACAGAATACCTTACAGGAGGGGTCGAGTGTGGTGCCAATTATATGCGCGTTAGATGGCATACATTTGACAAATTTTAGTGAGGACAAGAAAGCCTGGCTAATCTACCTTACCATCGGTAACATCAAGTCAACGGTCCGGAGCAAGCCCACCGGCCATTCATTAATTCTCCTAGAGCTACTGCCAGTCCCACCTAAGCTCATGAATAACTCACTCACTAATTCCACTTTATGACATCAGAGTCAAATGGCGGGGTGGAATTCCACAGTCTTGGGAGCACTCGCCGGAGCCCTACTCGCAATCACTAGGATTACCGATAGAGGGGAAAGCTATTCAGGGAGAACTCGGAAAACCTGAAATCGGTGGAATACCTTGTTGCGAGATCAGTGAAGACACTCTTTAATGCTTTCTGGGGTATGCCGAGGGCTAATTCATACGATCTCAATAAACTGGATATTTTGTACAATATCTACCTATGGATGTTGAAGCACATGATGGAGTGGGTTTAGGTTTTCTAGAAGAAGCACAATTGGTTGGAGGAATTTGACAAGGCTTGGGCCTCGATTGCGCCTTACCCTGGACTGGCAGTACTGAATGAGGCATATCGTGCCAGAACCCAATTGCGAGGGAAGGAGATGGGAAATCTGACGCAGGTCATTTTGGAACACTCATAGCTGCTTTGAGAAACCCAGCGGTGGCTCTCAGACGTGACTTTGCAAAGGCATTAAAATGTGTAAGAGGCTTAATCGACTTCCACTTAATGGTGCAGTATGGGAGTCATACAACAAGAACACTGAATTATATGGAAAGTTATCTCGAGGATTTCCATAAGTACAAGGATATCTTTTTAGAATTCCAGGCATATAGGAGGACGGTTCAGGATGCGAGAAATCGAACAAAAGCCTTAAATGCCCCAGGCTCCCAGAGTGCTGAACGAGGTTTAGAGGACATTCGCGGGATACAAGAAAGGTCTCACTTCAACTTCCTCAAATTGCACATGTTATCGCACTATCGGGAACATGTTGAGCTCTTTGGGAGCATTCTCCAGTACTCTACCAATATCAGTGAACTCGCCTATGTACATCAGATAAAAGAGGCATACAGAGCATCCAACAAGGTAGATACTGCAAAGCAGATACTGAATTACAGGGGGCGTTAGAGATTCGAATGCTGAATTTGAAAGATATTGTTGGAGGTTCTAAGAGCACTGACCACATCCTTTGGCGCCATCCAGCTAACCTGAAGGGGTTACTTGAGATTTTTAAAATCGAAGACCGGAAAAACACTCCAAATGAACGATCCATAGTGGAAGTAGGTTTGCCTCCAATGCATCTTTGTAACCCCTCCATGAAATCGGAAAGACTTTTCAATATTGTGGATGGACTGCAAATAAGCCATACCACATCATATCTTCTGATAAAGGAGTATGCAGAGGTTGCGGGATGCTCTCAATACTTTGCCGGAATCTCTGAGAGCATTTTAGAGCGTCGGGTGGAAATGTTCACATGTTTGCAGGTTCCGATACCAATCTTCCAAAGACCTGAGGTGTGCGAGATTCACAATCTTAGGTGTACGGGAAATGCAGCTTTTGGGAAAGGAAAAATAAGAAAGGATTGGGTATGGATGTCGGTAGCATCTTCAGAGGAGTGGAGAGTATTTCGGGGACGCTTACCAGGACGTATGAAGGCTATATTCAAGCTGTGGGACAGTGGGTGGCGAACAAATAGACTATGTATAATGGAGCTACTCGAGGCAAAGGATCGTGGTATCACTGATAGCTCACATGGGCTCCTGAAGGTTTGTGGGAGGAGGCGGAAAAGGATATGGGTCGTTAATATTCGTAGTATATTGGAAATTGCCTATTTGTTTGAGGTGGAGACTGGTAAATGGTTGGTAAATACTAGTATAGACTTGCGTACATGTAATGAATTTAGTTGAATGCTTGCAAAGCCATGAGGGCATTCGTGAGTGCTCTGAAAATGTTAGACCCAATTGGACTCTCTTATTCAAAATTCGTGTCGTTCTGCTATGCATACGAATTGGAAGAAGGAGGTAAAGTTTTGACCGATCAGTATCTCAGTGTGGCTATCCAGCAAGCTCGCTACAGGAGGGCAATGCCAGGAGGGCAATGCCAGTCCTTGTTTGCTGCTTGTAAATGGACATTGAGCTTTTCAGACAAGCCGTACCATGGCCTCGACCTCAAGGGTAATTATGCCTTTCACGAATCGACAGAAACATATACCTCCATCAAAGATTGGCTAGTCGTTATCAGTATATAGGACAGTATTCAAATCAGTATCCCGCGACTGACCATACAACGTGATTGAGGATATCCATGTTAGATATCATTTGAGGGACTGGTGCCTTCCTATGCTTTGACGACGGTATATTAATACAAAGGAGGCAGGGTAAGAGTTGCCTCATCTTGAGTGGGTATGACGAATATCTCAGGGCTGTGAACATTAGTGAGTGCTCCGGGAGTACTCACGGGAGCACTCGAGTGAGTATTGACATGGGCATTCACTGTAGCATTCGCGGGAGCATTCGCGGGAGCATTCGCGGGAGCATTGGCGGGAGCATTCACGGGAGCATTCGTGGGAGCATTCACTGTAGCATTCGCGGGAGCATTCGCGGGAGCATTCTTGGTGCCATGAGAATGTTCACTGTGCTATTAGAGTATTCATCGTATTGTAAGACCAATCAAGAAAACTGTGAAAGTATTAGGAAGTGCTCGCGTGGTACTATTGACGTAATCAAAACAAGCAAAAGTTCCATAGTTGCTACGGGCAGGCTCACTCTATCCTAGCATCTCTGAATCAGTAGGTAATATCATGGCAGCATAGGCAAGTAGAGCATTGGCGGGTACCCTCTGGACGTGAGCCATATCTCCTGACTGTGCCGGAAGGTTAGGCGCTCCTAGGGCAGAGCCAGGTGTGAACGGTGTATACTCGCGGTGACAGACGTGGTAGGCGCTTGGGGCACAGAACACCCACCAGGATGAAGGGGCTGCGCCCTAGGTAATACTCGACCTTTCTGATAGAACTCCTATTTTTCTGGCTTTAGATGAACATTATTATCCTTCAGAATCTGTATTATTTTACTAACGTGATATTGGTGTTCTTCGAGAGTGTCTGAATAAATAAGGATATCGTCTACTAGTAGGTAGGTTGCAGTAAATTTATTCAGATAGGGACGAAGAAGATCATTGATCCAATGCGGGAATGCGGAAGGAGCATTGGTAAGTCCGAAAGGCATTACTCAGTATTCACAGTGTCCATAGCGAATCTCGAAAGCAGTTTTCCATTTGTCAACTTACTTGATTCGGGTTTGATTTCAGCCCCAGGATAGATCGAGCTTTGTATAGTACTTAGCTTTAGACAATTGAGACAGTGTTTCAGGAATCTATTGTAAGAGGTGACGGCTCTTTACTGTTATCTCGTTCAATTTTTGACAGTCAACGCAAAGGCAAAAGGAATCATCTGCTCTCTTAACAGACAAAAGAGGTATACCGGCAGAGGATTCCGAAAATCAAATAAATCCTTTAACAGGTTCTCCGCAATGTCATCATGATTGCGTAGGGCCTGGAATTCTAATCAAAACATCTTGCACATCGGACAAAAGGGAGGTTCTTTGCCATCTTGAAGTACTATATTAATATCTTCAAATCATTATGGAGGGAGAAGATAGGCCGTGGATTCTTGGAATAAAGTCATGAACTTTTTTCAAAACTCTCCGGCACATACATAACTGGGTCCATAATCTTTTTTTAGTAAGTGCATCATCGATAGCGCGTAGAGAGGCGAAGGATAACTTGGATCCCTTATATATGGTAGCTCTAACGAATGGAACAGCTCTGATTGCAGCAATATTTATCAAGGGTTTTTCCGGTGTTATAATTGAAATCCCCTGAACGATGATGGGGAAGCCACTCGGTGAACAATGTTCGTAGCAAGTAAGAGAATCGAAAACAATTTGGTTTTTTTTGGGCCGCAAAGTAACATCATGTCGTCGCATATAGGGTATTCCCATAACAATTGAATAGTATCCTAATTCCGTAACGAAACAGGTTGCATCCTCTCTGTGTCCATAAATATCTAAAAAAAGGTTAACGATATGTGTAACTTTTCCTGATTTAATCGGTCGTCCATCTATAACGTCTACTTGGCACGAAATTTTCAACAGGGTCATTAAGAATTTATTGTGGCATGTGAAACATTCATCTATAAAAGAGTATCCCGAGGCTTCGGTATCAATAAGAGCATAGGTGAGTATGAAAAGAATTTTATTCTGTGAAACTGAACAAGTTACTATAGGTTGAGAACCATCCAATTCTTCCTCTGATACTGAAAATATAGTGATACGCATCCTAGAAAAATCATCAAAGGGTCCCTCGGCTAAGCCGATTAGTGTAGAGGCACATTTTTTGTTGACTCATTATCAGAGTCATTTTCATTTGCCTCCCCCACCTGCAAGACAGCTCCTCTCATTGTATACCTTCTGGGCAGGTTCCTACCTGCTCGGACTTGGGGACAATTTCTAACCAAATGTTCGACATCTCTGCAATAGAAACATCGGCCCTCAGCTAAGCAGGTGTTTCTTTCTGCAGGTTAGAGGTGATGACGGCCTCCTGAAAGATCCATAGGTACTACCCCAACCGGCATAAAAGAAGTGAGAGCGGCGGCTAGTAGGTTCACTGATACAGGAACCAATGCTTGTGGACTTGGGGCTGGAGCAGGAACAAGTGGTGGTATTCATTGGGTAGAAGCCATTGTCGTGGTCCGTTGACCACTACTTCCCAGTCATGCCTTCACCGATCATAGCTAATTGTCCAACCATTACAGGAGATTAGTGCGGGTATCTATTGTTGCACGAGTATCGTGGCATATCATTGCTTCCAACAGTTCCGTACTAATTCCTTCCATCATACTTTCTATCTTTAAGGGCTCATTCAACCCGGACTCAGAGGTGTAGTGTTGGAACTCGGCAAACTAGTCGGCGAAATTACAGTTTCTCTGGCAGATTTCCTATAAAAGCCCTCCTAGCTGTATGTGTCCTACCAGAATCTCCAAGGAAGTATCAAGGATCTTGTAGCACTGGTTCAGGGATTCCAAATTAATGACTTGGTCGTTAGTATACGCGAGAAACTGGTTGGCTGCTACATCTTTCAGAGGAGAGAAAGTATAGAAGAGTTGGGACCGAAGAGTGGGGAACCGATCTGCATTTTCAAGAAGTTTAATCTTCATCTGTTGCTTGAATAATTGAAGTCTGTCATGATCCCTATCCTCGTAAAAGACTTCAGAGTCTTGAAGCTTATCAGTCCGATGAGCTTGGGGGGGAACTGGTGCCGCTTGGACAATAACAGCAATAGGAATAGGGTCAGGAGTGACAATTTGAGCTGCTGTTAGTTGTGTTTGAAGAGATGTTCGCTCCTGTTGGAATCCCTTCCTAGCAGCTCCGACTTCATTTTCTATTGCCGTCAAGTATTCTGAATACTGAGCAAGAGCTCGTTGAGATTACTGTAAGAAGGCATAGTTTTCAGCAGAAGCATTGGTACGTTCGAAGGATGGGTATTGTTTGAAGTGGGCTTGGATATGCTCAGATAAAGTAACGTAATCAATTAAGCCAGACAATGTATACTATGGTTCGATTGGTTTGTATTGGTTGGTGTTGGCGATGCAACCTTAGTTTTAAATAGATCTTTGGACGTGGATGAAGGTATTGACTACGGTTGCCAAGGAATACAACCGAGGCAGAAGATGTGTGCTTAATCTATACACTGTGCAACTACTCAAGTAGGCTATCTAAATCTCAAGTGGCCCAACTCTGTTTAATGTAGGATGAAGATAGTATTGTACATGTAACGGCGATCTCTTCTAAGAGAAATAGAATAAGATAGAATAGAGACGGCCGTGCAAGATAGACAATCAGGTTGCAGATTATTCAAAGATACTATCGCTAGAACTCAATAATCTTTAAGGGCTCTGCTACCGATAGGAACTTGATATTTCTTTCTGATGAAGACTGGAGAGAACAGGACTGAAAGGCGAGAATGAACTTGAGTACTTATACTCCGAAGGCCTCTATTCTCTGCTCCTAACTCCTTACTAAATTCCGGCGGGGCCTTTCCTTGATGCCGGAAACAATACCACCACTACCCCACTTTTCTCTAAGCGTCAGCAGGTGTTTCCGATACCCAAGGCAACCACCCTTAGTCAAAGCCTTTGTAACACCTGGAGCCTTGGTTGTCATACAACCGGGGCCTCTATGAATGAGCTGCTGCTCAGATGTAAGCTTAATCATTGCTGTAGAGCTTTCGCTTGTTGTAGACTTCCCTAGCATAGTCCCTGCCTCTTCAGCAGACATACAATCCTCAAAGGATACAGAGGATCACCAGGCAATCAGAGCTTCACTCTGGCCAGTCTTCTAGTCACTGGCAAGGCACAGACTCATCAGTCCTTGCTCCCATGAATAGATCCCCTTCCTAGCGCCCGGAATATAGTTACTCTCGCAGCTGCTAGCTAACCACACTGCCAGTACTTGCATATCACCATGCAACTGTCTTCTAACAATAACTCTCAGCATGTAACCGGGCCCTATGTGTACTCATACACCAGACAGTTGAAATGGCTCCGTTACAGTACGCTAACAATATAGAGAGAATGTAGAAGGTTATATAAAGAGAAAAGAGAGAAACAGAACATCAACGAAAGACAGAACCCCTTTATATATTCAATAACCCCAATCCGAGTATGACTCATACACATATACAATGGAAACCCATAGAATCCAAAGAAAACCCATATTACTAATCCTAACCTCGCTGCCAAGTACTTTCTCTTTATGCCCTAACACAATATCCGACTATGATGCCAAGACGCCATTACAAATGCAGTGATACTGATATAGAAGTTCGTTACCATAACCCTTACTAGAATTATTATGCGGAATAATCGTTGCTCCCTTTTAATACAAAAACTCTACAGATAACTGTAAATGTACATTTAAAAAATACGATTAGGTTACCCTATTAACATCTCTCCAGCCACTGCTACTACTGCTCATGCTGACTGGAAATGGATATCTATACAGGTAGCACTGTAGTAATAACTCGAGTACATGAATATTATATTCCCGTTTCCATCCCCGACCCAATATGGGCGGGTTCACTTGATAAAGTTGGTACTTAAACCTTGAGTTGGTAGTGAAACAATACGATCTCCTGCCTGACCCGACCTTAATTAAAACTCTACATATATTAAAATTACATAATTCTCCACCCGACTCGATGCGAATTAAAACTGTCAAAATGTCTTGAAGGAAAAGGACAAGATTTGCGTCTTTAGGAATCCCGATGATGTCTTTTGATAATCAAATGAGCTAGGCTTATTACATACCAATTCGGTATCAGTCTACTGATAAGAAATAGTCTAGAGTTATTTAAAGTATCTATAGCATATAGTATGACCCAGTGTCCCAAGACGAGACATAACTTTTTGTTGATATAATATTTTTCATATGGTGTGATAACAAGAGATACTATCCCCAATTTAGGACAGGTGGGATTAATTTTGGGATCAAAAAATAATATTTTGATTGCAAAGAATGTGATTTATACAATGTCTGTACTCAGCTACAGCATATAATCTTAAATTTGTCTTTTTGAGAAACGTCTTTTGTGGATTAGAGGTTTTTTTCATTCTCTTCTTGCCTCCCAATATATATTCAGTAGCATGAATTCATTCCTTGAATTAAACTGAAATCAGTATATTTTTTAGTTCTCTAATCAGTTTCTATTCTTATTAATTATCATTAGTTCATCGAAAACAACTGCATCAACATAGAATGGCACTTCAAATACTTATATATTATAGACTTTTGCTCCAGTTTTAATAATCTCTATTATAATGACACTACAATAACATAACCCAATTGGGTCCTGGAGCAAGAAAATATTTCAAAAAAAAAATTTGATTTGGGGTATATATATACATGTATTTAAGTAATTGTAAATAATTACAGATTTGACTATGTTGGTAATTGTTATTTATTATTCCTGGCAATCTTCTTTCAATCTTGCCCTCTACAATCCACCCTTAAGTTGCTACGGTGTACGCTCCCTCGTTATACGATCAGAATTCACTGCTACCATATATGCTAGTACACTTTTCTCAAACCATGACCCTGCTGCAATGAAATGATCTTTTTTTGTAATGTCCTGCTATTGTAAGAACTGTGCTCGACATCATTTATAAATACTGCGAACGAACCTGATCCTATTTGTCACATCGGGTAGTGAGCACTTTAAAACCCAAAGATTTGGCTAAAGTCTTACAGATTCTTACGACTTCTCCTGGGCCGATGACATCGAGTTGAATTCGCATGGGCGACAAAGGCGTTCCCAAATCTTAATTTGTTCTCAACCAACACAGGCCATCTACAACGATTTCGGACTGGTTACATAGCTGGGAGACACTTTGAATTTACAGAAAGACCAGGAGTATTCACTGAGTTGATTGGGTCGATTAGACAATTTCCCCAGTACTGGCCAGTATTCACGTACAGACCAGTGTTTCACGTACCAATCAGAATAGGTCTCATCTTTCTTCATCTAGGTCTAATATGAATACGCTTATCCCCACAACACAACATACTTTCTAGCTTGTTGTTTGCCGACAAGCCTTGGAGAGTTTAAATATAATAACGTATTAGACCTACATGTAATTCTAGTCTCGTGCCCAGACTTTGTGTGTCTGTACGAGGTGCCACAATGAAACAGTATGGGGACGAGACTAACCTAGGCCCAATCTGACCTCGTACCCAGTAATGTATTTCGTGGTTCTCGTGCTGCATATTCTTTAACCTTGGGAACGAACCCGGGCCCAATCCAGACTTTGAGAGATGTAACTGCACAGAATATTATTATCAGAGTTAGCCATTCTACAGAAGAAAAGACTCCAGTAACGCCAGCCAATACCTAAGTATCAGTATAGCATTCTCATCAAGTCCTGCTTCTTATATATCTTAACACAAGATTCATACTCTCAATCTCTCAATTAAAATGGACACCGCCCAACTAACACGAATGTAGCCAGCCCGAACCACCAGGAGACTTAAACGTATCTTGTACTTCATCTAGAAATAGAGCTTGTTGTTTTCTACTTAAATATCATATGATTGATCTTCATTTCAAATTTGTAGCTAACGGCTCAATACTTAATCTCAGGCCTACAAGATATGCCAACTTTAAAGGGATTCAGAACACCACGCGTGATAACCTACCACTCTTAGTAGCGTCCCTCTAATTGTATGGCCGACAGGCAGAGGATACACGGTACAGATCTAAACTATTCACTAGTCTCCACAGAAGATCTCCGCGGTCTTTGGCTATGAACGCTGACTCTTTGAAAACAACCGTGACACATACTTAAGCCTTAAGGCCTTATAAGGACTCGATATTATATCCTTTACGCTATAGGCTTTCTGGTCGTCCGAGACCCCATTCAGCCAATCCTCATATCCCTTAGGCGGTCAGTTGAAATCGAAATCGTGACCGAACCAGATATGGCTGGGTGTGCTCAGTTGAACGCAATTGCTGTTTATTCTCTCCCTGTCTCTAGTGGAACAGGTGGAGCTTCCTAGCGTGTGAGAAGAAACTCGAGGACAGAATAAACAGGAACTGCGTTTATCAGAGCATAGCTACCATATTTATTTGGACTAACCGCCTAAGAGATACATTCCACTTCTAGCTACTGCTTAGAGTCCAGAGTCTCCTTCAACGAAGGTTCATGAGTCACTGACGGGAAGGATATCTAGCCCGTTCTTATTTCTATGGATTATTAACGGATTATAAATTATCATTATTACTAATCTCTGCTATATGTTACCTTTAGCGCAAATGATAGAATTCCTAGATTAGTACATGTACTCATATCGGAGCTACAGAGTCCTTACGTCAAAGCATATCGGTACTGCGAGCACTACTCGTATCTTCCTGACGTTTGTAAAAGGAACCACTATTGCATACATTACAAATACGCCCAAGTCCACAATTTAGTATGATATGGCATAGCGCTTCCTTTTACAAAGGTCAGGAAAATACTGGATGCTTTGCATACGAGTTCCAAACTTGCATACAGATTATCCACTCACCCATGTGCAAAAGGGCAACCTTACCAGATCTAGAAACCCATGCAGGCCACCGGTGAGAATAACACAGTAGCATAGCCGCGCACCCCCAACTGCATCCTCAACGGCAGATCTATTTGCCGGGCCATGGTCCCAAGAAACTTACGTCATGACTCGCCAGCTACCTAGTAGATTTGATAGTACATAAAGGTTGAAGATTCCGTTCGCTGGACTCCTCAACTTAAAGAGGCATCCATATCAACAATCAAGTTCTACCACGCCGAACACACCCACCCAACGAATACAATGCCCGCCAACGCAGTCCCACCAGCCAAATGTCTCTGCGGCGGTATCAAACTTACTTTCAAGGAAGATGCTGAGCCCGAGGTTAACTACTGCTACTGCAAGCACTGCTCAGCTGGCGCCGGCGGACCTTATCAGCTCAATTTCGCCTTCGATGAAGCTGCGGTCACTGTTGAAGACCCCCAAAACTTGATGAGGGTTTACATTATTACCGGCTGCGAGAGTGGAAAGCCAAAGCCAAAGTACTTTTGTGGAAAGTGCGGGTGCACGATGTTTACAAAGCCGGAAGCTCTGCCGGGGAAGATGTTTGTCAAGGGGAGTCTAGTGGAAGGAGGGTAAGTTGTTCTATCCAACATCGATTATTCAAATGTAAGCTTCAAGGACTGACCAAAATTGTAAAGATGTCAGAATTTTAAGCCAACTGCGGAGTTATTCATCAAGTACCGACCTTCATTCGTGGTCCCAGTGGAGGGGGCAGCCCAATTGGAGTCTCAGTAGAAATGTATCTTTAAAGGGTTGCCGCAGAATTCATAATCTCTTGGCAAGTAAATATTTGATTCACAAGATGTATGAACCAATCTCAGTCAGGTGGATAGATGGCCGAGTGGTTATGGCGCTAGCTTCAGGTGCTAGTGGGGCAACCCGCGTGAGTTCGATCCTCACTCTATTCATTCACTTTTGCTGGTTATTATGATCGTTGGTGGTTCTTGAAGTCCTTAGTTTTTAATTATCATCCCCATGGTTGTTGAGGCGCAGATGTGGATGACATGAGCATTTATTTTTTACTTAGTATGTAACTTGCCGGTTGTGCCTGAGAGTAGTAGCATACCATCACATGCCAGAAAGGTGAAATTACCTGAATAATATATGCCGCTAGTAAACCGGTATTAGATGTACCTTGACGCAATTAGACCGTAGAGTATTGAAGTAAGTATCGATATAGAGCTACTCGCACGGCCGAGTTTCGACTTACTTATTTAACAGGTTTTTGCGTTGCTCATAGGTCATGTGATCAAGTCGAAACTCAGCCGTGCGAGTACTGTAGTACGGATCATCTAAATAATATGGCAATACATACTTACACAAATACCACCGAGAATTCTTGCATATACGTCATCATTGTTCTTTGGTTGTTTTTTCTGTTAACAGGATTCACCCAGGCCTGGGATTCATTATAATTGGGTAGATTTGGTCGATACCAATATATCCATTGTCGCTAATGTCGAATAGCATTCAACCCCACGCCACAAATTTCAGGCACCCAAATCCTTTATCCGCATGAAACTTCGATATTCTCCTATCAATTGACACGTAAATCTTCATTTAAGAGGGGTCCATGATGACCAGAGCCTGATAGCGGTCCTCAAGTGCAAAAGTGATATTATCGGGAGAAGCCCAATTAAGGCGTCACGCGTAAAGTTCTGCAGTCTGTTGAGAGAGTGTTTTAGTCCCCATATTTCGATAGAAGCCACATGCGCCACAACATCTGATGTGGGGGAAATATGGCCGAACTAATCGCGAATAACGGAGTGCATAGATGAACTGGAAGACTCTAGTAAACAAACGGCGAATTCTTTCGAAAGCTGTCTATTCTCAACTTCAACAATTTGGTATTGTTGGATGCCTGAAGAGTCATGTATGTATGGAGGCGCAAATCAGGCACAACGTCGCAGGGATTTTTCCTGGCCTCAATAAAAGGATGACAAGTCCTCGCAAATAACTATTCCTTCCCATCTAACCAGACTGCACGGTAAACAAAGAGGTCTTTTACGACTCCTTCCCCTCCTTTTCCTCTTCCTGAGCTCGAGGTCGGTTTTGGATTATAATCCCCTGCCAGGACTATGATAAGTAAGGCTCGACTTTACATTATTCCCAGATAACGACTACGATACTCTCATTAGAACTAGTCACGAATCCGAGCGAAACAAGATATAAAAAGAAATGAGTGCCGATAATATCACCGTGGGCTCTATCGAGAAAACCTGTTACTTCTGGAATAAGACAGGCCAATGTAAGCATGGAACGAAATGTAATTTTCTCCATCGAGAAACACCAATCATAGCAGACCCTCCGAAATCATGGATCGATTATGGCGATAAAGGTAAGTCAAGTGCGTTTGAATTTTATGTTAAGGCTCCTGTATTAATTCATGTTATTTAGGTCCCCCACCGAAGGTCCCGAAGGTAAAAAGCAACATCAGGGATAACTCTGAAGATGGGAATAGTAGAGAAAGGGTCTTTGAGCCTAAACATAAAGCTACGGAAGATGAGCTCGAGTGGGAGGATCATATACCAGCGAATAACTGGGACCAGCAATCCTCAGGTGTCAAGAATACGTGGGACGAAACCACGCCCACGAGGGCTGATGACTCCTGGGGAGCCCAAGCTAGTACTAGAGTGAATGTAACCGAGTGGTACCCACCAAAAGCTAACGTAAGTTCATGATATCTGTAGACTTGAGGTTCGCGCACTAAATCATGTTCACCAGGGTGCCCATTCTGTGACGGCATCTACATCTGCATCCAACAAACAGGCGACGCCTGTTCAACAAGCCGATTATACTGAGAGTCCTGCAGTCATTGGAGACTTATGGGAAGCTTTACTACCACCTGATTTTACGGAGTACAGAGACTTAAGACAAAAGTATGCCATGTCGGATCCAGAATTCGATGTTAATGCCTTGGTTCTGCTCTTAGCTGCAGAACCTTTTCAACTTTCAGACGTTGAGCAGTATCTAGGTGGATATTCAGATCAAGATATTGATCTAGATAAGGCTTCCAGATTCGAAAAGCTCCCACCTATATTTTTTGCTGTAGCCACAAACGAACCTAAAGCGTTGAAACTTCTCATAACTCGAGGCATATCTGTAGACGCGACTGCTGGTCCAGACAACATACCATTGTTAGCTTTTGCTATCATGCATGGATCAAGAGCTGACACCACTGAGATGGTGCGGATTCTACTAGCCAGTGGAGCTGACCCTACACACATATCCGACGAGTTTATTTCTTTCGATCATTATTCATCAAGCCACCATAGATTCTCCAGGTCATCTAACAGCGAGACACCATCATGGCTGTCAGAGAAGTATAGATTTAAGCTTGCCAGCACCATCAATATCTCGCAGAGATACTGGTTACTGAAAGCGAGAGCTTTACGTCCACGGACGGATCGTGAGCATTTAATCGCTAGAATGGAAAGATGTCCAAATCTGTTTCAGATGCCATTTTGTCTGGTGGGTCAGAGTTTTGCCACGAGTTTTTTGATGCGGAGAGTATTAAGCCACCTATTACTCTCCAAATCGAATGCAAAGCCTCTGGTTGTAGCTTTTGTCGGTGAGCACACGATGTGATTATTTTGCCCAACCGTTAAAATATAGGTGATCTAACTCTACATTCAAATCTTTAAATCTAGGCCCAAGTGGACATGGAAAGACTGAGCTAGCTAAGAGCATGCGCACATGTTTATCAGCAGCATTTTTGGCCATTAACTGTGCCGAAATGACTAGCACTACTGATCTTTTTGGCTCAGCAGCACCATCCCCAGGTTACGAACAAGGCTCTGCCTTAAACAACTTTTTATGTCGCAACCACGGGCAAAGATGTATTGTGTTTCTAGATGAATTCGAGAAAATGGGACCTGCCGTGCATGAGTCACTTTTAACCCCATTTGACGAAGGTTTGGATATTTCTAGACTTGGTCAGTGAGTTACCCAGCTGATGAGGTTAGGCATATATCGTGATCGTCGGGCCGTTAGAAACGATACGAAGATAGATTGTTCGAAAGTGATATGGATCCTTGCCACCAGTAAGGTGGATAATATTATTGAGCCATACTACAGGGCCAATGTCGAGGTCTTCCAGAATCCCGATACTCAGGATCAACAGTTCCTCGCGAATATCATGAATGGAATTGAAAGCAAGTTCTTAAGGAAGTTCAGCATCCAACTCGGGGTACGTTCTCTAGACTAGATCATCAGGGGAGGTTTCTAACTGTGTACATGATAAAGACAACGTTCGCCGGACGCATCTCCATGGTCCTACCATTCCTTCCGTTCTCGCCCGCCGAGCAAGCTGTAATTGCGCACAAGTATCTGCTTGAACTTAAACGTACACTTGCAGCCGATATTAGCAAAGAAACAATCATGGGGCATATTAAACTCGAGGTTGAAGGGGAGTCAGCAGTTTGCCGGCATATAGCCGAAAATGGTTACGAAATCGAATACGGGGCACGATCTATTGAGCGTGAGATGCATAAGTCAGTGCGCGATGCTATTACACAGGAATGGTTAGGGTCTACAGACTGGATCCCCTACCAAAGAAAGAATGGTCCATATGAAAGATACCTGTTGTCCCTTGACCCCTCAAAAGAACACGTCGTTGTACACAAGATCCTTGAAAAGAAGGGTAAGACGAGGGCGAGGCAGAACAGAACTTTGGCAAGGCCGGCAGCTGGCCAGGGTGGTTCACAATTCGAGAGCTCAGTCGGAGCAAGATCAGGAACGCCAAGTAGTGTTGGTGGTATGAGATCATTAAGAGTAGGAAGACTTATAGATATCGAGATGGTGAATGGATGGGAGGAATAAGTATAGTTTTGTTTCGGATATGGATGGGTCATGAAGACGCTGTTTCTTTTGGTTTAATTTATCAGTAGGTTTATAAATCAATTGTCCCATATGAATATTGACGGGTTAGAACGACGTTCTTAGATGCTTTACGGGTATGTGCAGATTCATCAGTATACGTATCAGCATGGTGGTTGCATATGATTAAACGACGTCACTTGACCCATAAAACGTTTAAGCTCCCCCACTAAGCTAATCATAAGATCTGATCTGCTGTCTTCGAATTTTGATTTTATTGAGCCCCGCTAGCTTGAACCCATCCCTTCGTCTGTTTTCAGTACTCGTGGTTTTGTATGACAGAATATCTATTGGGGAAGTAATCTGCACGCCTAGTTAACACACTGAATATTTATCGTATGTCCGCTATCCATTTAGGACCAATATTCTAAGCCTACGAAAGCTAGGGCCCGTCGATCGCCCTTTAGCAAAGAGTCCGGTAGGGCGTGAAAAACCACCCACCAGACGAAGGGATAGTCATGGAATTTGGACACGTAGACTGTTCTAAGTATGTACATGTATATATTTAGAGGGACTGAGAACCAATCCAACCTTCGAACCGCAATCTCATATATACCACTCCACCTCTGTTGGTGTATATCAAATCTTCGGCGTCATCTTTGTAAATCTTGCATAAAGTTTCGATTTTGAAAACCAAATAATTACGAGGGGAACGGTTTATAAAATATAATCTACTATAACTGCCTATCATAGAAACGTACGCATATACATGTATGTATGTATAAACCAACTGAGTAAAGTACATGCATTTCAACTAACTGCGCGTGTTGAGCAGAAACACTTCTTGCCAAAGCTAGCTGTTGTAGGCAGAACTTAAAGCGACTTAGTGGGTTTTGTGTTCACACAGGCGTCCAACCATAAATAGTGCCTTGTAAGAGAGTTTCTCCCAGTCCAAGTATCTATCCTTCGCCCATACCCATATAATTTATCAATCCCCTGGAGAAAGAATAAATGCTATACCGAGTGAGATCCTGTGCGCCAAGCCACTTTATAACGCATCAGAATAACAATTACGAGGCAATTGATGAGATTATACGTACAGTTGCTGAGCTTGATTGTAGTCTCTAGTCCACCAGTTAAAAACTACGTGACAATTTACATGTGACAGTGCTATATTAACTTGCAAAATCTTATAAGCAAATACTAACCCACAGCTAAGACTCATGTTTCTCAAAGGGGTTTCAGACGATTTTACCACCAGTAATTTTGTGTTTTTAGACCGTGGACCCCCCGCTCTATCAACGCTTTCTAAAGGCGCGCTGGTGCGGCCTCACTTTTTTTCCTCGGGTAGATAAATCTCCTTCCATTGATTACCAAGTCGGCTTATACTTTTAGAGACCTGCCTTGGTTAGGTCTGAGATTTTCAGCTAACGGAAATCTCAAATTATTAGTGTGTCCCTTCCTTAGCCCGCTTTACTAGATTGGAAATCTATTCTAAAAAAGCAACGAAATCATGTCTAAGATAGAAGCGGAGATCAGTTTGATCTTAAGCAGCGATACCATAAATCATGTTTTGCGAGGGAATGAAAAACGCATACAAAAGATATCTAGAAAGAAAGAACTCCGTACCAAATGCCGAAAAAAGAAATGTGAGAAAGACGCATATATCTCCCGCTGTCGATTGATAGAATCTAAGCGGATGCATCTAGGAGTTAAACGCAACCGCTGAATTCTCATCCTTGTCCTCCTTCTTTATCTCGGGCTCAGGTTCAGACGGTCTAGCAAAGGTCGCAGCGACAATCATAGGGAATGCAATGGTGGCCTCAGCGTACACCTATGAAGACAGCCGAGTCAGCTAGTATAAATATCATAATGGTGCTTAATTTACTTACTTTAACTGCCTCTCCATCCATCTTAATCTTTCCCCAACTGACCGCCTCATCTGGCCTTGCCCCAGCGTCGGAGCCATCAAACTCACTTGCTGTATTGATAAATACAGCATACTCCGCTCCATTTCTCATCAGGCAAGCATTGGCAATATGATGTTTCACAATGCCTCCTCCCAAGATCATCGCGCCGACCTTCTCGGCACGAACAGAAAGCGAGTTAATCTTTCTGATATCACCGACAATATCACATTTCAACTGTTTTGGAGAGCTTTTGTATGTGTGGAAATACAGCATATCTCCAAGACTCCCATCAGTTAGGGCAGGACAGAAAACCGGAATATCATTCTTCCAAGCCCAGTAATAGACACTTCTTTCATCGTTAATTTCCTTTCCTAAGCGTGCTATCATCTTTGACGGAGTCCAGATACATTCAGGATCCGCCTCCTGCTCTTCAAGCATGGAGTCGAGGACAGGGACGACCCAATCTTCGAAGAGACAGTAGTTGTTGTTCGGAACGATAAGATTACCAATGCGATTCAGGCCCTTCTTACGCAGGGTAGCACCATCAAGATTGAAGGCACCCATATATGTAGATGCGAGGCATTTAATGAAATCCTCCTCAACCCCTCCTGCTGTGGTCACAATGGCCGAAACATGTTTGTGTTCAACCAAGTACCGGAGCGTCTCACGAAGACCAGAGGAGATCAAGTTGCTGGTATATCCCAAGAAAATAGTAGCTCCTTTTCCAGTCTCTGGGGAACGGTAGGTACGCATCGTGTCAACAACCTTACACGCTCGTGCAAGATTTGAGCCCTGAAAACCGATAGTTTCCATGCCTGTGATTAGGTCCGAGATCGTTACATGGCGGCCCTTGAAGTTGTTGAAGTCAATGCCTTTGACTTCACGAGTAGTCCATGACTCAGGGATTGGATCGGACGGTTTGAGGACTGCATCAGCGGCACCAGATGGGCGATCTTCCGTGTTAGGCTCCTCAGATGCAGCAGGGGGTTGGGGGGAATCGGGAGGTGGCGGAAAAGTGATAAAAGATGTTTCTTCAGGTTGAAGTGCAGTTGTGAGAGGGGTAGCCATATTCTTTGCTTTATTACGTAGGAGCGGATGGATTGCTGGTTTGAATTCTTGGGGATATCTAGGGTTGCAGTTGTTTAGGGATGGGTGCGGCTCAGAAGAAAAATTGGAAGTTTGCCCCACTATTCTCACCCCGCCAATCCTTATCGATAGTTAAGCGACGGCAACTTCCGCTGTCATGTTCGCTACAGGTCTGGGCAACTCCAACTTCACTCGCTCTCCCGGGCTAGACATCAATCCCAATCGTGAGATAACCTATAACTACATATCTAATAAGTATATAGATATACCGATATGCAATGTGTTATTTAAAGGTTTTGATTGGCCAGGTTTGAGGGGTTTTCTTTTTCTCTATCAAATATGTTTGTCAGTAAGTAGATATTCTATCAAATATGTTGGAGTTAGTAGATATTCTATCAAATATGTTTGCGTCAGCCAGTAGATATTGGTTCCAACATACCTTGAGTCAACCAAATAGTATATCAGATATGTGCACAGGGCATCTTGGGGTTTCAGTGATCTTAAGCGTTGGTAAACTGATATTTTTTAAGCCATAACAGTTCCTACTCCGGCCAAAGGCCGGAAAATGCTTGTATTAATTACACCTCTTTTAATGCTGTTTCAATAGATGACTGAACCAATAGGTTGTAATCTTTGGCCACCTTGTGACCTTGGGGTATTTTATGTCGTATCAGTTGAATCTCAAGACCAGACGTTTAGCTATTCAGACAAGCATAAATACACTTCACAACTTAAGTCATACACATTTCTGCGGTAAATAAGCATGCGGCATAAATGACGCTAGCCCCAAGGATCGTGTTGCTCTATCGGACGGAAGTCCCGAATATTTTCGGTGTGTCAAGGGCTCGGCATACATGCACATTATTGCATTCTCCCGGGACGAGTAAGAACCGAAGGATACCACGTTCGCGGGACCGGAATCCGGCACTGGTCATCAATCAAAATACGTGGAATATACGTCTGTTCTACATATGTGCTCTAGAATAAGTCGAGGGTATGTCCTCGAGCACTATTCGTCCTATCTCTTGTCACGACTGCTCGGCCCTATTTTATTGGATCCTGTCTTTCAAGATTTCCAATATTATCTATGCGGATGCATATCGTGCATATCGTGCATATCGGATTAAATTGTTATTGGCACAGCCTTTATCAAGCATTACTCGGCTTGTTCTCAGCAACAATCATAGGCAGTTGACGCAAGTATTGGATTCAATTATTTGTCTTCCTTAGCGATAAGTTGATAATACAGCCTCACAACTGTTCCTCTCCCTGTTAATCTTTGGATATCTCTTCATAAGTTTCGTTTCAAAACGAGCTCTCCGTAGGCAAGAACAAGACCACTCGGGCGATTTTCCACCATCTCTGCATATACTCCCACCAACAGCAAGCATCCTACAATTATCTGCTAGAGAGCACAACTGATGTTACATAGAACCCTAGATGGTTGAATTAATGAGCAGAAACGGGCATTTCTCAAGAATTAAGCGTTTTTTTCATTTCGCACAAGTTGCCTGTAGCCCTTCCAATCACAACCAATTATTCCCAGAGAATCACTGAAAGAGCCCCAGCCAGTAATACTACATGTAGTTCGAAATCAAACTTTCTCATGTGACTTTGTGATATACTCGCAGCATTTCTATCTTTTGTGCGTATCATGAGTGCATACTGTACGCGGGATTTATTTCTCGTTTTTGAGTTCACTGCTTTTGATTTTCTCCTTCGAGGGTAGATCAAGTAGATTGGATGTTGGGGTAGTTTACAATAGCTTTTTGGAAGCCCCCTCCAAAAGAAAAAGTGGGGATATGTACGTATAAAGCCATGTGGGATTTTAAACTCAACGGAGTCTGGTCGTCGTGTCTTTAGGTCTTGTGACAAGAATTACCAATTCTATAACCACACATTGTGGGCACAATTAAATGTCTAGTTTTCCGATTGTGCGGGTTGTCTCCGGGCGCCACCATTTTGTGGATCAAGAAGCCATCACGATTAGACTTTTTTTTATGCTCTACTTCTATTTGCAAATATTAATCATCGGCAATCACTCGATTAACCCTCAGCCGCACACAACCCAGAGCCAGTCTATCTACAAGTACTTCAAGCTGTGACTGTGCTTTCGGTTTAGGTCATAACAACACTACATTTTATGCATGCATCTCATCAGATCCCTTATTCGCTTAAGTTCCCATCGCGCTGGTTTTCTGCCGTCTTTTTTTTTTTTGCTTTTTTTTATCTAGGTTTCAACAACGCTACATGTTGGCTCATGGCGATCGTACACTTCATTGAAAACGTCGGGTGCGGATATAGATGTGACATAGCAAAGTTTATTAATTCTTATCTTACAAATGAGATTCATTATTGTCATTATTCGTCCATGCATGAAACAATCATTAACGCCGTACACGCCCCAAAAGTCACATCCTGCCACCATTCCCAGCCCCAGCCCCAGTACCACATATGATGGTACCCCATTTATACAGAATGCTCCAGTACAAATGTACAGTCTAGATCCAGATCTAGAGAGGCATCAAAAAATAAAAGAAATAAAAAAAAAAGAGAAAGAAAGAGAAGTCGCCAATAACTTTCCCTTACCAAGCCATGTTGAAACCCTCAAGTTTCCTAACACAAAACTCGATCAATGCACCTCCATTTTCGGCCATCCAGTTGCCACCCCAAGTCTTGAGAGGCCAGTCCACACGTAGATATTGGTCATCGACATACACATCTTCTACGTCTTCATCCTCCCAAAAGCTTTTGCGCGTTGTCAAATGATCCTCATCGCTGATGGGATCTCTGTACGCATGTCTTGAGATATCTAAAAAAATTCGGTTAATCGCTTATTCAATTTGGCAAATGGGCGATTGGATGATCATACTTGCGGGGTTGAATGGCAGGAACTGTCTTTTTTTGGCGGCCAGTCTCTTCGCCGTCCAATGAGGGGTGAGATCTTCGGATTTGCCAAACTTCTTCCTTCTGGGAGAGAGAATCGGTTCAAGCTTGCGGGGTGCTTTAGACATGGTGATGTTAAAACGAGATATACTCGGGCTCCGAGGTGTTCTCGGGGTTTTGGGTGCTGATAAAATCATTTTTGAGACTAAAATCGTTGTAAGCAGAGTGATAGCGGCACTGGTTATTAAGTGATAAACTTACTCTCAAATTCATCCAACCTTGTTGGCGCAAGTACTAGACGCCTTACTGTCTTCTTGACATCAATGGTGGGGACTTGAGGAGGAGAGTCTTCGACGACTACATCAGTGGTCTCGATGTCTTTGGACTCTTCTGCTTTGTTTGTCTGAGAATGAATCTCTTGTTTGGCCTCATTTTGTAGTTGTTCTGCGCTGATATCTTCGATGATTTGCTCAGCCATGTCTTCGTCTTCGCTCATTGTCACATCCTCTTCGACGTGGCTGTCGACGATAACCGAGTCTTTGATTGATTGTATCTGTTCTTCGACAGCTGGAACGTAATCCTCGTCTGTGCTCATATCGGTGTCTTCCAAGATGTGACGTAGAACCTCTTCTGTGTCCTCCTCCATCTTGTCTGTCTCGACGATCTCCACCTTTTTCTCCTCCTCCTCTACCTCAACCTTTACTTCTTCCTTTACTTCTTCCTTTGTTTCTTCTTTTACCTCTTCCTTGACCACTTTCTTCTTTGGCTTCTTCTCATCTTCGTTCTCGGATGCCTCAGAATCTGCCTCCTCGACCTTGGCCTTGCGTCGTGATAGTTTTTTCTTTTCTTTTTTCTCTTCCTTCTCGGTTTCCTTCTCGCTCTCTACCTCATCCTCTTCTTTAATTGTGGACTTGGATGGCCTTCGATTTGCTAGATCGCCTCCCTCTTTCTCTTCTTCCTCCTCTTCCTCGACAGTTGTTGGGAGAATCGAAGGCTTTACCGACCTTCTACGTGTTGACCTTCTCGGTGGTTCATCATCCTCATCGTCTGCTTCTTCTTCCTCCTTCTTGACAGTTGACTTGGTTGATGTTACCAATTCCTCAATACTCAGCCTCTTGGGTGCTTTCTCCTTGACAGGGGTCTCCTTAGGTGAGAGCTGTTCGTCGACTTCTTTTTGTTCCGGATCTTTTTCGGCGTCTGAGAGTTCCACATCGATGCCTGAATCCCTATCTTCTTCCCTTTCCTTTACCTCTTCGTTTTCTTCTTTGGGTGCTTCCTTTTCTTCTACTTCCTCTTTCTTGACCTCATCCACCACCATGTCCTTGACCTCATCCACCACCATATCCTTGACCTCATCCTCTTCCTTCGAGCTAGAAGTAGCCTGCTCCGCCGAGACCGAGCCGGAATCAGTGACACCCTCGCTTGAAGCGGCAGTGGTGGTGGCATCCGTACTAATGATAGCGTCCTCAATATCCATATCGTCCCCCTCCGTAGTTGTAGCGGTAGCCTCCATGGCCTCGGTCATATCGACGATCACGCCTGATTCCGGACGAATGTCAGTACCTATATATCTACGAGTGATATCTCATGATCTTCACGTCCAGGAGGAGAATTCTGTACCAGTGAAAGCGAAACCGTCAAATGGACTGATATTCTCTACAACAGTATCAAGGTCAAGGTCCTCATCAGAATCCATACAAATGCCTGAATCTACACGTTGTAGCTGGCGTTTGAACTGCTCCCGTCTCCTTAGCCTCACAACCTCGAGGGACTTCTTGGACGGCGACGAGGTGGATAAGCTCCGCTTACGTTGCTTCTTGGTTTGGAGCCTTTTGTAACCGGGCAGGAAGAGGGCATCTCGGTTGTCTAGTAGGCGTACTTTACAATTGCTCGGTGTATATATGTCCTCATCCTCGGCGAGGGTCCGTTTGGCTCCCTGTACTGCAACAGGATCGAGGATAAACCGGGGAGGTTTGGTCCAATCCCATATAGAACGTCGAGCTCCGGTGGGGACAATGAGGCGGGGAGAGAAAACTCCTGAGAGCCGGACCCGCTTGTTGGAAGTGGAATGGGTACTTGAGGTCTTCCGTTTCAAGCATGCCGGTGGGCAGCTGGGGGGGAACATTGTGGACAGTACAAAACAGGAGAGATGCAGAGAGATCTAGAAAGAAAGATGGGACAATAAAAGGGCTATATTCTTTTCTTGGGTACGATACAAAGGGCAGTAATGATAATAGATGGAAAGATATTATAACGATAATGATAGATAATGATAATATAGCAGAAAGAAGCTGCAGGAATGTTTCGAGAAGAGATATAGATCAGAAGTGTGCTGCTTGTAATTGAACTGCGCAATGGAAATGATTTTGGGAGGGGCAAGAAGGGGAGGGGGAGGTATTTGAATTATCCGGCGACACAATTTCCAACTGGATGGGCCATGGATTCCGTGGAGGTGTAGGTAGTTAATGCAGTACTGTCTTGAATTTTGTCTTTTTTTTCCTTTTTCTTATTCCCTTATTAATTCTTATCCCTACCCCGGGAGTGCACGTCGGTGAAAAGAGAACAAAACGGATGGAGTGGAATCGAGAGATTACCGAACCAGCGGGTCACAGGATGTGGGATTTAAAAAATGTTTCGATTGAAACGGGAAATAGATCTCTCTTATCTCGTATGTTTCTGAAACTTGCCGGTAGTGGTAGTTGTAATAATCCTTTCAGACAGAAAATATTAACTGTCAGTTGAGACAGTTAACTAGGTATCTAGTAATTGAAATTGGTTCTCTGACCTAACAGTAACAATTGCACTTTTCTTCTGATCGTAATCGCAATTGAATTGAGCAGATGGCCTACATAGCAGGTACATGGCAGGTAGCTCAATCAATATCAAGGCAATTGACTCGCAATCAGGCGTGTAGGCATGTAGGCAGGCAGAGGTAGGCAGGCAGCTGGATAAGCAGAAGGGGAGAGGCAGGCAGGCAGGCAGGCAGGTACTCTACGCTGCTACTGCTGCTGCTGCTGCTGCTCTTCTCGAGGACTCTATTCCCCACCTTCGCTATCATATCAGATTGCATATCCACCCACCTTGCCTCGTTGCCTCACCACTGCAATGCTGTCATACACATCCATCATGAGACCCAGTCTGCGATGACCGGCTACAGCTTCTCCAAGAAACTGCGAGACGTGTTCTCCGGACGCTCGAGGGATTGACGTGGAGCCAGTCGGGGGAGGTAGCTTGCCAGCACATGATGGACGCTTTGGGATGGGCGCATGAGGCGGGCTAAGCGAAATGGGGTTTAGTCAGGGCAACGAGGGTGAAGGGGGGATGTTTGTTAACCGGGGTTTCTTGGTGCCTTTTGGATGCCGGTTTGTTTCTCGCTGGGGTGGGGCAGGGTGGGCGTGAGATGGTGGTGAGGGAGGTGGTGGTGGATGTTTGGTTTGGATGAAAGGGTTCGCCGAGTTGGTGGTGGTGATGAGAGGATAAGAAGAGCGAGAGCAACGGCTAGCTACAACTACAACTACAATACTACCTAGAGTACAACTACTCCAACACTCCATCCACCGCTACAACCATCCTGATACTACATACTACTAAGGAGTGGCTTTTTGTTATTATTTTATTCTCGCCCTCTCCTCTTTCCCCTCACCACCCCCCTCTCAAGCTCCTCCTTCTTCACCCCCTTGCTATCGCTGGTTTGCTGCTTCCTGCAACCCCACCAAACTGATTATCGAGCTGCATATCACTACTGCGGGAGTAACCGAGCGTCTTGCATGCACAACGGTGCACTCGTACTCTCTCAGAAACGAACGAGAAAAAACACATTTCATGACATCAGGCAGATCTAATACCTTGCGACAATTAAGTACTCTATTACTGGCAGAAGTATATCTACCGGCTTCCCGTTATTCGGCGATGGATTAACCGGGTGAGGGGAGGGGCGACTTGGCAGGGAAATCATATTTAATCACTCGATGATATGAAGGGGGGAGGGGGTGGTTGCAGTTGCAGAGATCCCTCAATCCTTACCATGTAAGGGTCAATGATCTGTCTGACTGGCCTTCCTCTTCATATGTATATTACCGGCTCTCTCGGGATTCAACACAAACGACGTCGTAAGCCACTGTGTATCTTAGGTTAATTCCAGGCCCCAGAATAAGCGCTACTCTCCATAGTCAGAGCTTGTAAAGCTCCACTCCCCACAGCCACTTTCGAATCCTCCTTCTCTTACCCCCCCTTCTTCCCCAATCCTCTCTCCTCCGCCCCTTCGACACGTTTAAGACACATACATACATTTTACATCCCCTTCCGCACCCCTCACTCTCCTCACCAGTAGTTCGCGCAGAAACATGAGCTGCAAAACAAGTAGAGTACATAGACTAGAGCATGTACGCACCCCTCTGCTCTTACAGTACTAGTACCTCCTGGAGGTGCATCAGAGATCGCCGGAAAAAGGACGAGTCCGCCACCCTCTGTAACGTGCAGTCGGAATACTGTTTAGTCATGTGTGCGGCATAGGAGATCCTGCTAGCGGTTCTATTACGAGTGCATTGGTCTGCAGAAGAATCTTTGTGTTTCAAAAGGACCCAGTCAGGATATCAAGAGAGAGGGGATGGGGGGACGGGACTCGACGCGGACTTATCTCAAACTGCTTCATGATTATCCAAGTCTACCTATCCTATCGGCCCTTCCCCGCCGTGGGATCGCCCAGAGACATTGAGGAGAGGAAGAGGAGATGTGGGTGTCTCTAGCAAATATTGTCTTCGTATCGAAATCGCCGAAGCGGTTTGCTTACAACCAAAGATAGTATAAGTATATATACAACATCGTACTTTCAAAGTAATACACGATAGTACAGCACTTTGATGCCTATGTACCCCAATGTTGGTTTCTACACTTTTAGTTTCTCCTCTGATGATGTACAGCAGTGTAAAAATGGCACCCCCGTAATTAAGCATAAGCTCTAACCGTAAACGATCAAGTACACATTTTCTGCGGAAAAGTTTCCTCTGTCAGATTTTTTTGGTCAGAAGAATTCGAGTGATGGTCTGTGTCCACGGAACCTCCGGGTAGTAAAACATACAAAGCCTGCTGAGCTCCTCCCGATCCTTACTCCGGTTCCAGCCTCCAATCCGCCGCCGACGGGGCGAACCATCGCAAAACCATACGGAGACTTTCACAGAGATATGTAGTATGTATGGTATGCCAAAAGCGACAGTGCACAAATAGCAATCACCGCATCTCCCTCCAAACCATTGGGCGGCTATCGCTTCGTTCGCCTCCAGCACCTTTTTTCTGCCCCCACGTATGGTGGTCATGATTGTGGCTTTTGGGGAGGATTGAGAGCCAGGCATTTACTGGTGGATACCCCCCCCCCAAACGGCTTGTATCTCATTTTTGGTCAGTCTGTTGGCATTCGTTTAAACCCAGAAGTCACTTTCATCACTCAGGTTTGTAGCTGAGATGTGTCAGGTCTACTTACGGTCCATGTCTCTGGGCAGTAGAGTAGTGGCTCATGGGGGTACGTTGCGAGTTGAGAGACGGGAGTGTTGGAGGTGAGTGCTGGAGGTGAGTGGTGGGATGGTGAGTGATCGTGGCCAATCGGTGCACTGCATCCGTGATCATCTATTTGCCTAGTTTCTGGATCCCGATACCCGATATACAGAATCGATGTCGAGAAGTTGCCTGTGTAGGGGATGTGTGTACATGTATGTGCCGTGCCTGTATTTTTTGTAGAATTATTGGGAAGTCCCTACCAATGTGTACCTGGATTCCAGAAACCAAAGACAGTGTGGGGTGAAAAAAAAATCTCCCGAGATTCCGTTCCTTAGTGAGACCAAGTAGTCTTTGTTCGAAGAGAAAACGGCAAGAAAGAAAAAAAAAGTGTTACTTAGTAACCCCACGCGGGGCTCGAACCCGCAACCTTCAGATCGCTACAAGAGAAAACTCTAATAGAAGTCTGACGCGCTACCATTGCGCCAGCAGGGCTGCTATGAGTATTTTTAGGTTTTTACCTATTTTGAACAACTATTCAACACAACGAAACCTTAATGTGTTTTATGTCTCCCTCCCACGCCCGTTGAGAGATCTGTTCATGTGTGATATGAGCAAAATCGCGTTCGGCTAATCGCCGGGCCTAAAATGGTTTCAAGATCTACTAGTTGAGACATGAATTCAATCAAGTCTTCAATTCAATTTTTCTGCATCAAACATTCCGTTTATACAGACGATCACGAAGCTTTCTGATCAGATCAGCCCCATTGTCACTTAGGGCCAGAATGGCGCCCATAAAGAAGTACAGTTGCACAAAGCTCAAGAGTCAAGACAACTGGCCAACCGATAAATCGAAGACTTGGCATCTTACATAATTATAAGTGCAAGTTTGATCATTAATGAGGAATCTCAAAATGGGGTTCAAAATTCCTCCAGTTGGAAGTAGATATCAGTACTAAACCCCCTGAAAGATTTTTAACCCCTGAAGAGGTTTAATCCTGCATCCAAGAGGTGCATTTTAATGTGAGGCATCGTCATGATCAGCTTTTCAAGTTCTGAAATCTGCGGGCTGTCTTCTCCATATGGCGTGATTCAACGGGCTGGTTTCATGTGTAGAGACTATGAACGGGATGATGGTATGGTGGCCGTTTTAAAGTTCGTATACACTAGATGAATAAATTATATTTAGTCACAGTGTATCACTCGGAATACGACATTCGTAATTACTGAATTATATAGTTGACCATGAACATAGAAATATTAGATGTTCATCTTTCATACTTAAATACTCTAGTCAGGAGTCTTTTATTAGGTATGTGTTATTTTCCTCGGGCCAAAGCCACGTTCATAGCGAAGCATGATTGAAAACCTAATTGTAACTTTAGATCTACTAGTTTATAACTATAAAGTAGTATTTGATTGTCTATAACCTAGCTCGGAGTGGTTCAGCGAAAATGGAAACGGGCGAAAATCTTCGATAAGAAAGGCTTGGATGCCCACTTTTACCATATGTTTTCCTGTCGGTTAGTCAGTACATACTTCTTGTTTTTGTCACTGGTGCCCATCTTGGGCTTATCTCAGCCTTCGATTTTGAGGAAGAAAAGTGCATTTTGCTCCCAATCAGCTCCAACTGTTGAT